CGCGGCCGGCGCCTGGTGGAGGCCCGGTCTGGAGAGTCACGCCCTGGCCTTCGGCAGCTTCGTTTTCCCGGCGCTAACAGGCAGCAAACGGGATTCGAAGCGTGAAGAGAAAGCAGGGCGGCCTCAGGAGAGGGTGTCTGCAGCATCGCGCGCCCTGCGTCCTTCCCGCTACCCGCTTTTGGCCCGTTGCTGCGGGATGGAAATCTTACTTGAACACGTTATGTGGTAAAATCCAGAGATTCCGGTGCAATATAGGGGGAATTAATGCTGCCAGGTCCCACTGTTTGTTGTGTGCACCCAAACCCTTGGCTCCTCAATCCAGAGGACTGCGTGAAACTGCCGTTACAGAGAAAGGGAAACGGAACGGGAGAGAAAACAAACTTGTCTCCACGATGAGGGAGAAAAGGGTTAGAAAAACATGACTCTGAAGTTGCATACCCCGCGTGAAAATAAACCTGGTATGCAACTCTATTATTTTCTTAGTAATGAATTGTAAAGTGCTCTTGCTTTATCTGAGGGGGCTTTGAACTCTGGGAGAGAAGAGGAACCTGCCACCCCCTGTGGGAAACAGCCCATGGGTTGGTCGTAAGCCACAAGCGCCTTTCCGAGGACTCTTTACTTCTGTCAAGCTCCAGTCTTCACCCACAGACTCAAGGCTTCTCGTTAATGAGCCGTACTTGTCCTTGCCCATGGAGCACCCTGAGTAACGAGGCCTTCTCTCTCTCTTTGCACAGGAGCAGCACCAGGTGGGATTGTCTCGGACCGCAGGGCCTATGCAGTCTTCTGTCCCACCGGGCTCCAGCAGTGTGGTCACAGGCACGAGCTCTGGGGGTCCCTTCCTAGGAAACCAACCTCAAGCGGCCATCATGAAGCAGATGCTGATTGAGCAAAGAGCCCAGCTCCACGTGATAGAGCAGCAGAAACAACAGTTTCTAAGAGAGCAAAGGCAGCAGCAGCAAATCCTAGCAGAGCAGGTACGGTATCCATTTGTCTCGGGCACTGCAGTGCTGCTGTTGTGACAGCTTGAGCGCTACAGACAGTGCAACGCCAGCCCTTCCTTTTATCTTTGGTAATTCTCTGTGGCTCCTACCGTGCTGTTTCAGCAATGGTTATCAAAGAATCTGCCTCAATCTTACCCTTAGCGTGGCAAATATTACCCATGTTCCCAGCGGTGGGCTGGGCAGTCACGTGGGATTTTAGACACTGGAAAAGGTAGCTCTTAGCCTGGTATCTCATGGTGCATTTAACACTGGTAGAAGAAGACTCTGCTACAGATAGAAGTTGCCGTTGCTTCCCCATACCTCTGGCTATGGTCTTGCACTGGTAAAAGCTGTGTACAGCATGCAGCGGTCTGCTGAGACAAAGGATTGACGTGGGTTAACAGTAACCTAGCAAAGAAAAAAAAGTATTTGTCCAGATCAATTCCTTAATCTGGTTTGTCACATACCAGTATGAGCAATTACGTTAGCACAAGGGAGAGGCAGCACCAAGAGGGGAACCAGAGGCTGAGTGGGAGAGCAGTAGAACCACCTCTCAGGGTGGCAGTGTGGAATGGCTGCGTTGGAGCCTGTCACCCAGCTTCTGGACCTCTGGGCTGTGCAATATGGATGTTAAATTACCCAGCCTGAGCGGTGATATCGTACACATATTTAACTCGGCTGTAGTTTAAAAGCAGCCCAGGAGAAAGTCAGTGGGAAGTCACAGTGTTCAGCTCCTTATAAGCTCATACCCAAGTTTAACCTTGCGTCACTTCGATGATGTTCTGATAGGCGGGTAGTTGCTTTAAGCTTGGCTTCACCTCTCTTGCTGGGGGAATACAGTTTAGAGCTGGGGTCTGCTTTAATTTGCGTTAGCACTTGTGCGGGTTCTATAAACCACAGAAATACTGATAGCCTTCCCCTCTTCTCATGGTCCTCGTGAGAAACAGAAAAATTCACACCCAATGAACAGGAAGGATGCTTCTAGAAATATTCAGGATAAAGATGCATGAATTGGTTCAGGGGTGAACAAGGGCAGAAGAGCGAGGGTGCAGTAATGTTCCCCTGTCATGGGTTAGGCCAATTCAAGTGCATAAACCCAAGAGCCAGTCACTGACTTGGCTGCCTAAAACTGTTCAAAAACCACAAGGCTGAAGCTGTCAAGTGTGCTGGCATAGATGAAAAGCAATGAAGCTACAGTCCTCAGGCTTCTAGCTTTTGGGTGTTTTGTGCCTAATAAGGTTCCCTTTGTCTTTTAGATAGTTTATAATAAAAATTTATGAACACAGGGATTAGTACTTGCTTCTTTCCCAGCTTTGCCATTCTGTTACCTTCGTTACACGTCCTTGTTTTTGGACACAGTATTTGTACAGCTGCAGATGAAGCAGCAAGACATGTCCTTTTAGTAAATGCTTAGTCGAGTATACCCTAGGCTTTGAAAGCCCTGGTAAACACGCTCTCTGTTTTTATAATCAACCCTTGATTCTGTTTTAGATGCATGTTCATAGAAAATAACCACAGAGGAGCAGTGTGGACTGGATCAAGGGAGGGAGGCATTCTGCAATCACCTGCTCCCCAAATATCATTCAGGGAAAC